ACACTACAAGTGCAGGGGAAACTTCATTTAATGTTGGAAGATTCTCATTTTTCCAGAGCTGTAATGCAGCGTGCAGTTAAAATTAGGCTGTCTCGTTAATTGTCAAAGTATATAGTGAGAATTACTGCAGCCAGCTTCAGCGCAGGATTAGATATGCCTCTGCAGGGGAGACCTTGCAGAAAGGCCCAAGGTGGGAGAGCAGCTCCATCAGGGCCCCTTGGATGGAATCTCTCCCCAGGGAGAGGGGTGCCTGTGGGTAGGGGGAAGCGTGTGGGGCAGCTCTTCTCCTTCCTCTCCTATCTGCTCATGCTTGGCGGGACTCCCCAGAGCACTGTCCGTGGATCACTCCTGTGTGAATCGTGTCCCACGTCAGACGGCTGCAGAATAAGCTCCCCTTGTGAAGGGTGATGAGGATCTATTCCTACTCCGATTTCCTGAGCTTAGCCATATGGGGCCAGGGTAAAGGATGAGCAGAAAACACTCCAGCCTCTAAGCCTTGAGTCAGTATGGTTATTCAGGAACTAGGATCCCGTAAACCTTCTCGTACCTACAGGATGCAGTTTATATAGAGAAAAACCAGTTTAAATTAACACAGCAAGGTTGAAATACTCTTGAATGTACAAAAGAAAGCTGGAAGAAATCCCCGGGGAATACCTTTTTCCTCACTTCTTCCCCACTATCCTTTTTTGCTGTCTGCTTCTCAGTGTTGGAAGCTTGTCCTTCAAAAATCACCCACTGGGGAAAGCAGATTCTTCTGCAGGATGTGAAGGGAGAACATGAGGGAAGGGTGAGCGAGAGTTTTGCCATAAGCCTTTCCTCTTCCAGATCAGAGCTGTATAGTATACGCCAGGATGGCAAGTCAAGCTGTTGAGGACTTTCCATAGGACCCCAACCAGCTTTTATTTAAAGACAGTAAAAATGTTTTTTTGGAAGGACTACAAAAGCTTTCCTGAGGGTTCACTAATGAAGCTTAACTGCCAATTTGAATGTGAGCACTAGCACAGAATCTCAGCTGAAAGCTCCTGGTTCTCAAACACTGACTAACCTAACAGCTGTGAATTAATGCAAACAGAGCCTTATCCTGCTGGGTAGGAGGAGAAGGAAGGGGGCAAAGATGTTAGCTACCTGCAGGCCAAACTCCCCAGGAAGTCAGTGGCAGCTTTGCTAGTGTAAGAACAGCATGACCAGACGTAAATATAAAGGAGACAGAATGGTAAGAAAATATTTTTCACACATTTGTGTACTGAGGGGCCTATGAAGTCTAATGAGTGCAGAAGGCAGGATCTCTGTCACAACATAACTCTCAGATATGCTGCTTTAGCGTATGTAGCAGCGTAGTATGTGTAGCTTTCTGTGTGACTATTTCCTTCTTCGCATCTACTTACGAAAAATAAATTTAGAAAGTTGCCTGATGATGCAAAAAGGACAGTTCTAATAAGCTTTAAAGAAACATCTCACCAATTTAGGTGCACAATATCCATTGACATGCAGTATTTAGCTGCCTGATGAGGTGCTTTTGAAAATCCACCTGGATGCCTGTCTATCTACATATGCACCCAGTATCTGTAAACCTGATCTTTTCCATCACCTTATCTGTTACTCTGTTCAGACCTCCAGGTACTAGACTTTGCCTCTGTTATCCACATGTGAATTCTTTAAGTCACAGAGAAGTACGACACCTGTTTATCTTATTAAGGTAGGTGTCTAAGGCAATCTGTGATTTGAAACAAGCTACCTTTTCTTATTAGAGATTTAGAAGGCAATGCAATTTTTTAAAGTGTTTCATCTTTTTAGAAAGAACTACCTTATTTAAGAAATTAGTGTTTAGAAAAGTAGGATTTAATTAAACTCAGGCATTATTGTTTTATCAAGAAACTGTTGACTATGTTGCACCTAAAGACAAACAACTAGTGACCGGGAGCTTCTGTTTTATCAAAGTTTAGAAAGAGGCAAAATTTGCAGGGTGAGCTGATTTTGCCTGACATACGCAAATTCTCTTCCAGCTTTCCCTGGCGTCTACAGTGAGATCAGATGTAATTTAGTATGAGTTACGTGCTGGTGAAGCAAACCAGTCAAATGTACTTGTATTTGTAAGCAGTGTCCATTGAAATGCTCCAAGAATGCCTAGCTTATGTAAATGCTGAGCTTTCCGTAGCCAGTTCCTAAACATTCACTGGATTAGTGTACCAGATATAGCCCAGAGAAATCTGGCTTTCTTCAGATATGCAGGTTTTCATTTAATCTTAATATTCATATACTGCGTTCCTTTTACTTGCCCAAGTGTAACAGTATAATGGTTATGTAAACTGATGCTTATATTAAGAGGTTATTTTGACATACATTTTGGTGCCATACGTAAACACCAAACATGTATAATCACCACCATTAGTACAATCAGATCCAATTAGGATGAAAACATTTTGTGATGTATTTTTTTGACAAAATGGCAATGTGAACTTAAGTTTTTGCATGACTGAAATTTGTAATTGAAAGTAGTGTACACAGCTAGAAGTGAGGTAACAGTGGATTTGCCTGACTACTTTACTAACGATTGCTTTAATATACCATTCACTTGTTAATGATGCTATCAATTACTTTACTGTAAATTAGCTATTGTAAGTTTGAGGTCTTTTTGCAATGTCTGTGTTAGGTTACAGGAGCATAAATCAAACTCCCATCTCTTTTTACATCCATAACCATAACATATGGCTTTTATTAGGAAATGTTAAGTGTCTTATAATGTCTTCTTAATGGACAGTGTGTGCATGTGTTGATGATGAAAGCCATCTTCCTTCATGCAAAATATTAATGCATATGGCCTACATCTCCATAGATACAAGTTAAAGAATCATATTTAACCCATGAAATATTCAGTATACACTTCAACTTTACCCAGAATTCACATTTCTCTACTGTAACAATCCTTTAAGGAAAGAACAAGTTAGAGGTAAATCAGGGGTTGAATTCTACCAGGTATGCACATGTAATTGTGAATAAACGATATAATATCCACTGAAAAAAAAAAAAAACCCAAAAACCAAAAAAAAAAAAACCCAAAGGGAAATCACTTTATAAAATGCCTATTCCTAAATGAAAATACCCACAGAGGATTAGAAAATGGAATTTATGTTCCCCTAGAATTCCAGCTTGTATATCACAAAGACTCTTAATGTTGGTTATAGATTTTGTCCTCCAACCTAAAGTATCATAATGCTTCCAAGCAAAAGGGTGTTTTAGCCTCTGTTTGCATCCTTTTCATTGGGGCAGCCTTACCCATTTGGCTTTTGGACCGTTCCACAAAATCTTGGACAAGCACACTGCTTTGACTTGAAATGTTTTTTACCAACAGATTCCTGGGCACCAGAGAGATCTACTGTTCAAATCAACACCTGCTAACGTTGGGCTTGATTAAAGGAAGCTAACTAAGCCTTTTGAAGGATACCCTGCAGCCTTCCTTCTCCGTTTCCATGCTCCCTTGGCAGAAATCAGGGATTTGAAAGCTGCAATTCAACATCATCATCCTTTCATCTCGTGGTAAATATTTTATTATTCCTTTATCCTCCATGCTGTTTAAAGGAATTCATTTAAAATATTAACTTCTTTGTTCAGGGAGGAAATCTCCAAAGTGTATGCAAACAAAAATCTTTAGAAATGCACCAAGATAAAACTCCAGGCTCTGCTCCAGCTTTCCCCATTCATTCAGTCTGCAGACCTGGCGGCTCCCTGCTGGAGATCTCTGCTCAGACCAAAAGTCTCCAGCAGCTGCTGGTTCCACCACCCATTCATACACAACCAGCTCCCCTGTCCCTGCATTTCCACTTCTCTTTCCTCCATCCGTCCAATATGCTCCCTAATCTGATCTCACTTCTTTGATCCTCCTCAGGAACACCGATCATCCTCCCACGCCAAAGCACCACTCATCCCTACCGAGGGCTGGCAGCAGTTATCCTGTAAGAAAGGTACATTTAAGAGAGGAGTAAAACCTACCCAAACCAATTTCTTTGCAAAGGTACTATCCTTCCTGTATTTTCCTGCTTATCAGTATGGGTATCTTGGGGGTTAATCCTGCTGCTGTTCCTGAAGTAAATGTTTTCTTTACTTTTGATGCCAGGAGCAGAATCAGGCCCTAATTAATGTAATTATCCTCCTATGTAATAGTATGAAGGTACCTCCTTAGAGGAGGTGGACGACTATTTAAGACCATCTTTATCCACAGCTATGCTGTGAACTGCACCAGTGTGCCTTCCCTTTCCAAAACAACCGCAGGCGCCAGGAGGGGAGGAGTTGTCCTTCAGTAGCCAGGCAAGAAACCTGTCAAACACAGTGTCCCTTCTACATGAATGAACCCTCTCCTCTGATTAATACTTTGCATTTCCCACAAGGGAAAAGACAGAGCGAGGAGGTAAGTGAGCAACTGAATTACCCATTCTCAGGGAAGCATGATCATAAATATTTAACGTGGTACGTATGAGAAAAGAGAAAGGAACAGACTCCCTTTCCAGTCCAAGCTGATAAACTCCAAATCCCTTGGTCCCACAGGGACTGCCTGCTCCTGTGATCCTTTCTCCATCTCATAAAGGGGAGAGAGCCGTTAGCTCATAGGAGGGCTGGACAAGGTGTCTCTCTTTACTGGGGAATGACTGACTGTAAAAATATGTGCATGGAGGGAAACTACCTGGTATAATGGAGATCTCCCTGGCCTGTGAATGGGACCTTGCTCCAGGCTGTGGGTTTTTAGGAGCCTGTTAGAAAATAAGGGTCTCTGGAAGCCCACATACAAGTACATGAGCTCACGCCTTGGCATCCACTTGTGCCCTGTACATGGGGCCTGCTTGAGAGTGTGGGTTATGTCCCCATAGCCTGTGCGTGACTTTTGTATGGCCACACACATGGATGACTGCTCTGCTCTGACAGTGGAGATAACCCTGATGATGCTGGGAGGAAGTGGGGCTGGAGGGAGGTTCGAGTGTTTTGATGTGGGTGCTGATTGCATAGCTTACCCTTGCATATCTGGAGGAGTAGGGATCCTCAAAGAGCGCCCAGATGCGGGGCTGCCACCGTCTCCAGAAGCCCCCAGACCTGCCATCTGGGGAGTCACTAAGTGCTAGGCGTTTTGTCATCTCCAGCTCCTCTTCACCATCACCAGAGTCTCCGGTGCCATCTATGTCTCCGTCCTCGGCACTGCTATCCAGGGGCGCCCCACCAAAGCTGTCCAGAGCCTCTTCGGCGTCGCGGTGCTGCCGGTAGGTCATCCAACAGCAGGGCTCCACATCGGTCTCATCGATGCCCCAGAAGGCCAGCTCCTCCTCATACAGGGGCCCGCACACGTCCGCGGGGCAGTGCAGCTTGCCAGTGCAGAAGTAATTCAGGATGTGGGCAAAGACGCCCGGGTGCCGGTCAAAGAAAAACTCATCCGTGCGGGGGTCATAGTCGAAGTGGCTGTGGGCATCGGGTTCGGCGATCCAGGCCAGCCGAGTGCCGGGCAGGGTGCGTAGGGTGCTGCGGTAAGTCTGGTGCCTAGTCCCTCCCACGTTGATCACAATGCGGTCGCTCTCGTCGCCCTGGCCCATCTCGTCTCTTTTTA